TGCTCTCACACTTCTTGGGATTGAGCCCCGCATCAGGCTCTGTGCTGACAACATGGAGCCTGCTTGGGAATCTCTCTCTCCCTCTCTCTGCCCTTCCCCCGCTCACACTCTCTCTGTTTCTCTCTGAAAATAAATAGAATTTAAAAAAAAGAATAGAGATTAAAAAAAAAAAGAAAAGATCAAGGTTTTTGCTGTTTGATCCATAGACATCGCTTGCAAAGTGGTGGATAAAATTGAGAAGGAGCTGGTCCATACATCTCTGGGGAGGAATGTTCCAACTGACTTGAGGCACTTGGGCAGCCTACTGTGACTCCTGGCAGGGTAGGAGCAGTGGCACTGGGCTTCCTGGACTCTTGGTCTAGATCCTGGTCCCTAAGCAAGATCCCATTCCTGCTTTCAAATGGCAGGTTCTTCCTCCTTGCCTCCCATAAGTAGATATTCTTTTTTTTTTTTCCAATATATGAAATTTATTGTCAAATTGGTTTCCATACAACACCCAGTGCTCATCCCAAAAGGTGCCTTCCTCAATACCCATCATCCACCCTCCCCTCCCTCCCACCCCCCATCAACCCTCAGTTTGTTCTCAGTTTTTAAGAGTCTCTTATGCTTTGGCTCTCTTCCACTCTAACCTCTTTTTTTTTTTTTCTTCCCCTCCCCCGTGGGTTTCTGTTAAGTTTCTCAGGATCCACGTAAGAGTGAAAACATATGGTATCTGTCTTTCTCTGTATGGCTTATTTCACTTAGCATCACACTCTCCAGTTCCATCCATGTTGCTACAAAGGGCCATATTTCATTCTTTCTCATTGCCACGTAGTACTCCATTGTGTATATAAACCACAATTTCTTTATCCATTCATCAGTTGATGGACATTCAGGTTCTAGTAGATATTCTTAAAAAAAGAAAATAAATCTACAAGAGATCTCACAAATCTGATAATCAGAATATCGTCTTCAGATAACACACACTGGAAACACTGGAAACAATCCAAATGTCTAGCAACAATAAAATGTATAAATAAAATTTGGTGGATTCATACAATGTAATGAATTGCACAGCAATGAAAACAAACAGGTAATAGCTAGCGCAATGCAACGATAGGGACATATCTTAAGCAAGACACACAAGAATATATATTGTATGGTTATATTTGTGTAAATGTAAATTTCAAAACCAGGTAAAACTATACTATGTTATTTAGAAATGCACAAGAGGGATATAATTATAAAGAAAAGCAGGAAGTAGTAGTGAATTTTAGTCTAGGGGAAAGGGTGACAAAATTGAGAAGGGAAACACACGGTTTCTGGTGCTGGGCAGTTTCACTGTGGGCGGGAGTTATGCATGCATTGACTTGATTATCCAAATACATTCTTTTTTTTTTTTTTTTTTAAGTTTGTTTATTTATTTATTTATTTATTTTGAGAGAGACAGAGAGAGAGAGTACAAGCGGGGGGAAGGGCAGAGAGAGAGGGGGACAGAGGATCCAAAGAGGGCTTCATGCTGACAGCTTTGAGCCTGATGTGGGCCTCAAACTCACAAACCCTGAGATCACTACCTGAGCTGAAGTCGGATGTTCAACTGACTGAGCCACCCAGGTGCCCCCAAAATACATCCGTTTTTTTTTTTTTTAACTTTTAACTTTAGAATAACTTTAGATTTGTGGAAAAATTTCAAAAACAGTAGATCCCACATTTGGTTTTCCCTGTTATGATCATCTTATTGGGATGCTATGTTTGGCATAATTCATAATCCAATACTGATTCATTATTATTAATTGAAGTCCATACTCCATAGAGTTCCTTAGTTTCTTTCCCCCCATGTCCTTTTTCTTTTCCAGGATTTTATTCAGGATACCATATTACATTTAGTTGTCATGCTTCTATAAGGCTCTTCTTATGTATGACAGTTTCTTACACTTCCCTTGTTTTTAATGATCTTGACAGTTCTGAGGAGCACTGGTTAGGTATTTTGTAGAATGTCCCTCAATTAGAATTTGCCAGATATTTTTCTCATAATTAGACTGGGGCTATCAGTTCTGGGGAGGAAGCTCACTGGGCTAGAGAGTCCTCCTCACATTACAGCCAGGGAACATACTATTAACATGATTTAACTGTTGATGTTGATCTGACTGAGGTTGTGTTGGTCATGTCCCACTGTAAAGTTATTCTTTATTATTATTTTTAATATAATTTATGGTCAAACTGGCTAACATACAGTGTGTACAGTGTGCTCTTGGTTTTGGGGGTAGATTCCTGTGATTCATCGCTTACATGCAACACCCAGCGCTCATCCCAACAAGCACCCACCTCAGTGACATTTTTAAAACTCCTTTCCATATTGTCCTCTTTGGAAGGAAGTCCACATGTACATGTAAGGGGTACAAAGTTATTTTCTACCTCCTCAAGGGCAGAATATCTATATAGGTTTTTTGGAATTCTTCTGCGTGGGAGATTTGTCTCTTCTCTCCCATCTGTTTATCATTTACGTATATGGGTTCATGAATATTTATTTAATATTTTAGTTTATAATCTAATTCTACTTCATTTTGTAGCTTGAGTTGTCCCAGCTTTGGCCATCAGAAGCTTTCTTAGTTGGCTCTTGTATTCCTTTGAAGTTCATTGTACTTCCTTTGTTTGTTTTTAGCACTTCTTTACTTTCCGGTACAACAAAATGCCCCAGGCTCATCTTTTGTATTTCCTGCCCTAGCTCTAGGATCAGCCATTTCTCTAAGGAACTTTGCTTTCTTTAATTGAAGAATGTTATTAGAAATCAAGATTTGCGTGCTACCTGCAAACACACCTTATTTTATGTACTTAAAAATTTTTTTTAAATTAAAATCTTTAAAATATTTATTTATTTATTTATTTATTTATTTATTTATTTGGCTAACATACCGTGTATACAGTGTGCTCTTGGTTTTGGAGGTAGATTCCCGTGATTCATCGCTTACATACAACACCCGGTGCTCATCCCAACAAGTGCCCTCCGCAATGCCCATCACCCATTTTCCCCTC